TCTATGTAGACCAACCAGGCTGGCCTGGAACTCATTACATAGACCAGGCTGTCCTCAAACTCACAGAGATCCACTCATCTGCTTTTGCCTCTGCTGAGATTAAAAACGTGAGCCACCACACCCACCCCATCTCCTCTATGACAGAAGAAAATTCTAGAACATCCTGTACACCTTTCCTTAGGTGTCACTGATGAGGACCAGACACACCTAGGCCGACTCCTAGCCTTTGGGGGCAGGATGGAGGATGGTAGTGGGCTGAGCTCAATTCTCACTTTGGAGTGAAGGGACAGCCAGAACCCATCAGAGGGACTGCTGGGGACCATTCAGCCTTCCCAACTCAACCTTCACAGTCATCTGACAGCATCATCCAGGCTTTACAGAGAGAGGAGGCTCAGAGGGGAGGGGGAGGTCAGAGGGTCCAAGCCCTAAGTGTATGCAGCTCTGACAGCCTCTCCTGACAGAACTGTAGGTAAAAGTGCTTTTAGTGATGGGGGTGGGGTGGGGGGTGGGGGATCAGCTGACAGATGAGAGGATGGGCATTGAGGGCAGGTTAGAACCTCCCAGTGCACTGGGTCAGGGTGAAGATAGGAGCAAGGATGAGGTGGGGCTGCCCGTCTGGGCTCTGTGGTTCCTGTGTCTGTTGAATGCAAAGCAGCCGCAGGTAGCACCAGACCCTAGTTTGCTTTTCTGATGTTGTGATGCTTGCGATGGAGGCTGCCCTGGCTCATGCTACAGGCTGAATGTCCTCCAAGCGGGTGTCTTCCTGAGCCTCGCCCTGGCTGGGATCTGGGGGACTATGTCTGACCCACAGAGCCTTGGGGTTAATGACAAGCCCAACACCGACCTGTGCATTGAGGACAGGAGATGTCTTGCTATCAACATCGAGAATACTGGTTCTCTGTAACTTTGAGCCCAAGTCCAGGATTCAACTGCGTGGCCAGTGGTGGGCGTGGGGCACAATCTCTAATCTCTTAAGTGTCATGTCTCTAGAAGAGTGTGAGATGTCATTGTGAAAGGGACACTTGGGAAGATGCTCTGTGAATGTGGTTTGTTTTTTTTTCTTATTTTTGTTTTTGTTTTTGTCTTTTTGAGACAGGGTCTCCCTGTAGCCCCAGCTTTCCTGGAACTCACTATGTAGACCAGGCTGGCCTCGAATTCACAAAGATCCGCCTGCCTCTGCCTCCTGAGTGCCAGGATTAAAGGCGTGCGCCACCACGCCCGGCTGAATGTGTTTTTTTATGTGTATGTGCTCATGGTCAAGGATGCACCTGTGTGCACATGGGAACGTGGAGGCTAGCAGGCAACCTCAGGTGCCATTCTTAGAAATGCCATCCTCCTTGTCCTCTGTTTGAACTTGGAGGTCGCTGATTCGGCTAGACAGTTTCCCAGAGCCCCAAGGAGCCTGTCTCCTCCCCAGTGCCAGGTTTACAGGTGTGTGCTGCCACACCCAAGTTTTTGCATGGATGCTGGTGATCAAGCACATAGGAGTCTGGGTGCCCAAGGAGGCCAGAGGCATCAAACCTCCTACAGCTGGAGTTACAGGTGGTTATGAGCTACCTGGCTTGGGTGCTGGGAACTGAACTCAGATCCTCTGCAAGAGCAGTCAGTGCTCCTAACCACTGAGCCATCTCTCCAGCCCCTGAAAAGAATTCTTAAAAAGAACGTTCAGGGCCAGCCGTGGCTACATAGTAAACTCGCAGCCAGCCTGGGCTACATGTGTCTCAAAAAAGCGCTTGGGTGGACTGTGGTAGTGGTGGTGGTTTGTGTATGTGTGTGATGGCACACACCTGTTATCCCAGCACTTGGGAAGTGGAGAGTCCCACTAACTAACATGGGTTATACAGTGACACTTGATCTCATAAAGCCCTCCATCCTAAAACCAATAAAAGGTGGGCCCTCGAGATAGCTTGTCTGATGATGTGACTTTGATCCTCGGGACCCACATGGTGGAAGGAGTGAACCTGATTCCTGCAAGTCGTCCTCTGACTTCCACACCTGCATTGTGGCACACATGTGCACCCCCTTCCACAAAATAAAGAAATGTAATAAAAAATGTGAAATGACTCAGACTGCTGTGGATGTCAGGCACTTCTTCGGCAGGCAGGAGTGGTTGCCAGCCCCTCTGTGGGCCCCTCCAGTTGTTCACAGCTGTCTGTGGTACTTGGCAACTGGGGGGTACTGAGGAGCCGGACCCAGGGTTTCCAGAAGCAAATGGCTTCTCCCTTGGCTGGAAAAACCTCTGAGCTGGGGACCAGCTGGATGCCTCCGCCTCTGTGCAGCCCCATCAGCCAGCTGGCAAGTCAGCTGTGGACACACATTGCCACACACACCTGCACAGGCGCACTGTTCACCGTTCCCTGCGACAGCCGGTTCTGTCGACTCTGGGCTGTGAACTTGATATTTTCTTCAGTTTCTGTTCCCAGCATGAAGGCCAGGCCAGGTTCGCTCCACGGGATAGGAGGGCTAAATGAACACATTACCCTAACTTGCTACTGGGCCGACATGAATCAGCCAGCTCTCTCTGGGGAGAAGTAGATTTGTGCAGCCTTGGATCAGGGGACCTGAGGACTTGTGTGGGATTGCTAGTGTGTGATTTGGAGAGCTCCTCAGAAAATTCATTGGTCCTCTTTACAACATTTTTTGAGACGGGTCTCATTATGTAGCCCTGCCTGGCCTGGAACTTGTTATGTAGACCATGCTGGCCTAGAACTCAGAGATCTGCCTGCCTCTGCTTTCATATCCAGCCACAATTTCACTTTTTAAAAATATATATTTTTTAATTTTATGTGTATGAGTGTATTGCCTGCATGTATTTAAGTGCACCCCTGGAGTTCTCCAGAGTCATGGACAATTGTTAGCCATCATGTGGCTGGTGGGACTCAAACCTGGGTTCTCTGCAAGAGCAGCCCATGCTTTTAACTGCTGAGCCATCTCTCCAGCCCCAATTTCATTCTTTAATTAATTATTTTGATCTTTTGAGACTCTTGCAGTCGTCCTGACTGGTCTGGTCCCCTTAGGTAGCCCAGGATGGTCGACAACCCTCCTTTGGTAGTATTTTATTGGCTTTTTATTTTTACATGAATTCTGAGGACAGATTCTCAAACTTGCAAGAATGGCTCTTAATTTTTAGAAAGACACTTATTTGCTTATTTCCCATGTGTGCGCCACGGTGAGCCTGGGTGTGGAAATCAGAGGACAACTTGCAGGAGTCGCTGCTCTCCTTACACCCTGTGGGTCCCAGGTATCGAACTCGGCCTCTCAGTCTTGGCGGCAGTCGCCCTTATCCCCGGAGCCATCCCACAGACCCTAGCTTGTGTTTTAGAAGCAAGGCCTTGTGGCCCGGGCTAGCCTCACGCTCGCGGCCATCCTCCTGCCTCTGTCCCGAAGACTAGAGCAAAAGCGAGAGGAGTCTGGACTATTAGCACTTTCCGGTTCTGCAGGCGGTTCCCAGTCCCGCCAAGCCGGGCAGCGGTCCCGAGGGCACCGGGGGCGCCGCTGGGGACCTGGTGACGTCACCCGTGACGTGACGTGAGCTGGGAGGGAATGCGCTCAGCGCCCGCCGTGCGCACCTGAGCTCCACCTGTGGCAAGGCCTAGCCAGGGGGCGGGGCCTGTATGGGGCGGGGCTCAGACCGGGCATCAGCCAATCCACGCCCGGATAGTGCCGCCCACTCCCCGCCCCTCAGAGGCGGCGCATGCGCATTCTACCGCGGCCCGCCTCTTCTCCAAGGGGCGGTGCTGACGCTCGCGCCGACGCGCCGGACGTCGGGCACGTTGACGCCGGCGACGCGCCGCCCGGCCCGCTTCTCTGCGCTCACCAGTGTCCGGCGGCGGCGGGCCGGCCTTCGTGACTAGCCGGGCAGAGCGCCCGGGGGCCGGAGGACGCCGCCGCGGGGCTGTGTGGGGCGGCCCTCAGCCAGCC